AAACATATCCAAATCTATGAGAGAGAGTTGAATGTTGGGGAGACTATCATTTTAAGAACAAGAGCAAGGATTTCATCATCAACACATCATCTATTACCTTTTGGAGAGTAGTGTCTCCTAGATTGGTTAGGTGTCGCTTGGGAGCCTCCGTCAAGATTGTGGAGTTGAACCAAGAAGTTTGTAAGGGCAAGGAGACCGCCTACTTCGTGAAGATCTATCCGAGTGAGGCAAGTCCTTCGTGGACGATGGCCATGGTGGAATAGACAACGTTGCTTTTCGTCGACCCTTCGTGGGTGGAGCCCTCTGTGGACTCACGCAACTGTTATCCTTCGTGGGTTGAAGTCACCATCAACGTGGACGTACGATAGCACCACCTATCGGAACCACGCCAAAAATCTCTGTGTCTTCATTGCGTTTGCACACTCCAATCACATCCCTTTACTTTCTTGCAATTAGCATGCTTTACTCTTTCCGTTGCATATACTCTTGTCATGCTTGCTTGAAATGTATTGTGAATGCTTAAACTTATGCTAAAACTCCACCTTAACTTGAAGAACTTAAAACTATCACTTTTTACTTGTGAAGGGTCTAATCACCCCCCCCCCCTCTAGACCCCTCTTCTCGATCCTTTCAGTGAGATCAACAGACTACGAACATGTATCTCTACCAAGAAAAGTCTAACAATATGCACCATCATATCGTACATACTAGCAATGTTATAACACAAGGGAATCGTACAATAAAACATTCAGTCAGCGTTTGAGAAAGTGCAAGCATGACGTGGTATTGTACTAGGTAAACAAAATACATCGAGTAATTGTCAAGATGTCAAAAACTAAGTTTTATGCCACAAGAATAATTTCTATATAGGAGCACAAATATAATCATGACATAAAAGCATCCAACTATGTAATCTTGGATAATAAAGATCTACAAATATGAATAAGAACTACACGAAAGGTTCTAATAAAATACCACACAAAACATGTCATGTCACCCAGCTTTGGGAATGTAAGAAAATGGTCTTGAACCGTGATCAACACATAATCTAAATACTAATAATAGGCCTACCACAAGCAATTCATCACAAGCATGATTTTTTTTTTGATAAACCATCACAAGCATGACTATGTTCTAATATAACATGCTAATTCATGAAAACAATTATAAGGACGTAAACTGCAATATGATAGATTGTTAAATAACTATCGTAGGCATGGCATGATTTTAAAACAACAAATACACATGCAAAAGTGATGAAGTGAATATATAAAATATACCTAAGATATCTTCATGCTAGAGAATAAACTGAACTAAATAAAACATGCAGTATTCCACGATTAGATAAACAAAGCAAAGCTTAGAATAATTCCACATAAATATAAGCATGTCGAGCATTCACCAAATATTGCATGCGTGCATAGAAGAGGACTATACACAATACAACAAATTGTCTAAGTGGGAAACAACATGCAACACTTATTTTAAATAACTACAATCGGAAACAAATAAATCTAATAAGTCACATGTCACACACAAAATTATGTGACCATTAGCATGCACTCCTAGGCATATCACTAACATAATAAAAAAAGTAGACCAACAAGAAAAGTTTACCGAACTCAAAATGCTATAGGATTTTAGGCATAAACGACTATTTAAATCTACACTAAAACCAGATTGACCAAATAAGTGATCTAGTAAATCAGGTTCCTCTAACCACTTAAAATGTTTCATCTATTGGGATCAAGATCAAATGATGAACAAAAACAATGAAAATATGCCTATAATATTTGGTTCGTGCGATGGATAGCATCGACGCGCCCAGCGACAAAAATAAGAGGAACTGTGATGTCTAGGAGATAACACGAGTGATGTTTAGAAGGTGTGCAATAGGAATTGGATATTGGCTACCAAGTTTGATGGAACGTTGCGATGAACTTGGCAAACAGTGTTGACGGACACATACGGAATTCTGCGCTTGTGGTCAACGGATTGTGTACTTTCTTCTCTGAATGGATTCATGTATGGAGAAGGATCTTCTGGCGCAAGGATTTGGATGAAGGTGCTTGGAGTCACCGGGAATGAGCATTCGTGTCCATGGAGCAGCAGTAGTTCGAGGAGAGTTCTTGGAAGAATTAGGAACAGAGAGGGCAGGGGTTGCTAGGGGATTGGAAGAGGAGGCGGAGCCGCACGTCTAGATATCTTCGGTTTTGGAAACGGTCAAAGATCAAGGGAGTTAGAAGAGGAGGAGGGTTATGGTTGTATGTTTCTTGTTCTCTGTACCTTTATGAACGAAGGTGCACAGGAAGAGGAAGCACAAGGGGCGCTCGCTCGCTGGAAGAGATGGAGAAATAGGCCAAGGAAGGAGTGGAGGAGAAGAAATTAAAGGAGCGAAAATCCAACTCGGTGCCCTGGCTCATCAGCCCCCGAGCTACAGTAAATTTAAAAAAAAATACTAAAAAACTCAAAAAAATCATCTCTGTACTGGTTGTCAGTTTGCTATGTATGTATTGGGACCAATGTCAGTTAAGCTATCTTAGTATGGAAATGCATGTGATGCTTTGTTTCTGATCAAAATAGTACTCCCCCGTTTCAAAATAAGTGTCTCAACTTTGTGCTAAAGTTAGTATGAAGTTGTACTAAGGTTAACACACTTATATTGGGACCGAGGAAGTAGCATCTTTTCCAGAAAAAAGTAACATTGACATGTAGTACAATGAAAAAGAGTAGCAATCATAGCAGAAGGTATATTTTGCCAAAAAAAATAGTACTGTAACACTCATATCAAGTAGTACAATGTGCCAAAAAAAAAACAGTAGCAACATGTCTGAAAGTAGTGAAACATGTCTTGGTTGTCATAGTGAGGGGCCTTTTTTGCTATTGATGGTTTCCTTGCAAGCAGCAAGGTTGAACAGACAGTGCTAAGGTACTACTACCTCTGTTTTAGTGGCATAAAACGTATTGTATTTGTTTACAGAGGGAATACATAAGAGCTTTGGCTGTGAGCTTGGTTCAGAGGTCTTCAGGCTTCCAGCTTTCCTCCTTGCTTGATTGACAGCAACAGGTGTGGACTGCATAGCAATTCCCATCCTTTTTCTGTCATTGGCAGCCATTAGGAGCAACCTACAAATAAACATTCACACATAGCACTGAGTTCATATTTCTAAAATGCATCTTAGTATGGCAATAGGACAAATATGAATTTAGCTACAAATAGAAAGCATGGTCCATACCTTGGCTATGTCTGCTTGAAATGTTTTTTGTACTTGAAATGCATCAAAAGCTTCCTAGTCTCACTAAGTGTGCATTCCATTCATGTGCATTCCTGAGAAGGAGAGCAGGAAAAAAGGGTCGGCGACGTACCTGCAGGAAAAAAGGTGTCGGCGGAGATGAGGGCCACGGCGACAACGACGACGGCAGAGGCGGCCAGGAGGATGCAGGCAGAGATGAAGAGGCAATCAGGAAAGAAAGGCAGCCACAGCGCGATCAGGTGAAATACTCATCATCAAACCACCTGAAATCCTCTCAGAAAACCACCCAGTGGAGAATTGCCCGGT